CCATCGGAACACCACCATCATCATCATCATCATCATCATATCATCATCACTATGAACAACAGACTCAACATCAGCATCATTGGGACACCATCATCATTATCATCAGCAACAGCATCATCATGACCATCATTATCATCGGGACACAATCATCATCATAATCATCATCATCATCCCCATCATCACAATCGGGACACCATCATCATCATCAACATTAGCATCATCATCATCATTGGTCCACCACCATCAAAGTAATTACCACCTCATCATCACCCTCATCGCCAACATAAACATCATCATCGAGACACCATCATAGTCATCATCATCATCATCATCATCAACACCATCATCATCATCATCATCATCATCATCGTCATCATCATCATCGTCATCATCATCGGGACACCATAATCATCACCACCATCATCAACCGCATCATCATCAACCTCATCATCATCATCATCATCATCATCATCGGGGAACCATCATCATCATCATCGGGGCACCACCATCATCATTTCATCATTTCATCATCATCATCATGATCATCAACATCATCGTCATCATCACCAGGACACCATCATCATCAGCAGCAACATCAGCATCATAAACATCCTCATCATCGGGACACCGTCATCATCACCACCATGGCCATCATCATCATCATCATCATCGTCATCATCATCATCGGGACACCGACGGGACACCGGCGGGACACCAGCGGGACACCGCGGGGCACCGGTTGCAGGGAGGGAGACTTTTGGTCCGGCCGCGCCTAGGCCAGAGGCGGGATATTTCTCGCCCGCCCACGCAGCTTCGCCTCGCCCGTACGCACGGCACGCACCAACACGAAACCGAAACCGATTTCCCGGTAGGGGGGCTCTCCGTTCCACTTCGATCTCACCCCCTCACCTCCGATATACTAGAACCACGCGAGCGCTTCGCGCGCTTAGGGTGTAGTCACAGTTTGACTACGGCAACTACCGCCACCACCGCCAATAACGCTTCGGCGACCACTGGTAGGACTGCTGTGACGACGCCATTGCCACTGCCGCGACCCTCGCCGGAATTCAAATGACGGCCTGCACCACGGCAACTACATCTATCACGATCACGTTGACCCGCACTGGCTGACCCCCTGCCTTTTACCATTGCCGCTACCGCGACCACTGCTAGTACTGCTACCAGCACTACCACCATGACCACCTCACCACTGCCGGTGCCATCATCCCTGCCACCTGAACCATCGCCAACAACACTACCGGCGCAGTTACTGCAGCCACCACCACCACGGAAACCTATCTTGGGAGCCTTTGGGGCCTCTAGGGGGGAGGGTGTCACCTGCGGCCTTTTGGCAAACACTGGGTGCGTCTTGGGAGTCTCTTGAGGCCTCTTGGGGGCCTTTCGGGAGCCTCTTGGGGTCTCCCAGGGGCGTCTTGGGGCGAAGGCTCGGAAGTTCTGTCCCGTCACCCTGTCTTGGGTCCCTCTTGGGGCCGTCTTGGGGACCTCTTGGGCCATCTTGGGTGTCTCTTGGGCCGTCTTGGGGCCCTCTTGGGCTGCCTTGGGGCCTCTTGAGGCCCTCATGGATTGCGTTAAGGCGGTCCTCGGGGCTTCTTGGGCTGCCTTGGAGAGTCGGAGAAGCGAAAAAAAAAAGTTGCTAAAATATATTTTCCCCAACGGAATTTGAAGATTGTGCCTTCTTGGGAGCATTGTGGTAGGCCTGTTGGAGGCCTCTTGAAGCGCCTTGGAGCTTTCGTAGGCCGCTTCGGGGCCATCTTGGGCGTCTTGGGGCGATGTTTCGATGAATCTGGGATCCGTTAAAGCGTCTTAAAGACCTTTTGCGGCCCTGTGACCACGTTTCGGGACTGCCTTGGACCGTCATTGAGCGTTCTCGGAGGCCCTTTCTTACCATGCCCCCCCGTTGTCCATGGACCCGACGAGGGGGCCTCGTCCCCAAAAATAGACCTACTCATACTGGAACCACGCGCACTTCGCACGCTCTTCAGTTCTAGCACAACACAAACCAACATGTCGACACAATGTAGGTGCATCGCCACGTCTGCCTTGCAAATGCTTCGAACCGCTTGAGGTCTGTTCCGCATTGCTCCCGCTACTCGCCCTCCCCAATCTCTGTTCCGTCTTATCTCCTCCCTACTTTCTCCTCCTTCCTGCTCCGCCCTTCCACCGAACATCCTGCGGCCCCAGAGGCACATCGGAAGAGAAGGAGCGAGGTTTTCCGAAACGCAAGGCCTTCCGTGGGTGTCCCAGAGATTTGGGCGTCCTGGGTGCCTCCAGGAGGCCTCTCGGGAGTCTTTTGGAGGCCTTTCGGGGCCGTCTGGGGGCCATATTGAGCTGTCTTGGCCGTCTGGAGGCCATGTTGGGCCTTCCTTGCGCTTTCGAAGGCCGTCTTGAAGCCATCTTCGGCCGTCTCGGGGCCATCTTGAAGGGTCCTGGGGCCCTAGTGGACCGTCTTGGGGCTCCCTGGGGCTCCTCTGGGGCGCTCTTGGCGCGTCTGACGCTTTCTGAAGCCGTCTGGGGGACACTCTGGGAAGTCTCTGGGCCCGTCATGGGAGACTCTGGGGCGCTTTGGGGGCCGTCTTGGTCCTGTGGGGCTCCTCTTGGGGCAGGCTTGGGCCATTCGACGACCATCCACAGGCCTCAAAGCTTATCGGAACCGAAAAAGCGAGATTCTCGAAACCTCATTGTTTCCTAATGTTTTTGTTCATTGGTTTGGGTTTCTTAGGGCCCTCTTGAGAGCCTCTTGGAGCTAGAATCCTTTCAAATATCAGCATCATTGCCTCTCGACTCTTGGGGCCCTTTCGCGGGCCCTATTGGACCCGTTCGCGCGCGCGGTCATTGGAGTCTCTTCTGGCCACCTTCTGGCCATCTAATAACCCATTCGTCTACGTTTGTCCGTCTTGGCGGCCCCGCTGGGGCCGTCTTGCATGCCCCTGGGGGCTTGGACAATCGCTCGGAGCGCTGAAACAGGCCCACCGGCCCCAGGGGCCAAAGTAGGCCGGGGTGGGTGGGTGTGTCTCGGTTTCGCTCGTCTGTCTTGGGGCCTCTTGGAAGCCTGCGTGGGGGCGTCTTGGGGCAACTTGGGGGGCTTAGGGGGGCCTGTTTGCGGCCTCGAGGGTGGTCTTGGGGCGGATGGCTCGACATAGCAATCGTCGTCGTCGTCGTCGTCGTCGTCGTCTCCGTCGTCTGTCGTCCGTCGTCCGTGGTCTGGCGTCAGTCGTCAGTCGTCGTCGAGGGACGTGGAGCTCCTCCGAAGGCGGGCGAGGCAGAGAACGAAGAGGAAGCCGAGGAGGCAAGGAGTCGGAGTAGAAGGGGAGGAGGTAAGGAGGAGGAGACAAAGGAGGCCGTGGGAGACTGCCGGAACCTTCTTGCGGGCGATTCGGGGCTCGCGCAGCCGCCTTGACGGCAGTCCAGGGTCGATCAGGGGAATGTGCCTGGGTTGTGGGCCAGAGGCCTCATAGACGTATCGTGGGGTATCTGTGGAAGTCTCTCGGAACCCTGTTGGAAGCCTCTTGGGGGTCTCCTGGGGGCCTTCCCAGGGGCTTCCTGTGGCCTCTTACCGGCCTCTTGGGGGCATCTTGGGAGCCTTTTTGGGGGTGTCTTGGGGCCCCTTGAAGGCCTCTCGGGGGCCTGTTGGCGGCCTCGGGAGTAATTTCGGGGCGGATGGCTCTAAATGGTAGCTCGAGTTCCCCCTCTTGGGTCTATCACGGGGCCCTGTTGTGGGGCACTCTTTGGCCACGCGCGCTTCGCAAGCGCTTAGCTTCCAGCAAGCCGCAGCCCTTGACACGCTCACAGTTCCACTTCAGTAGTCACCCACAAAGACGTGAATATAGAAGGCGGAGAAATGTCAACGTGAACCGAGTAGAGACGCATTACCGATAAGGGTGCTTACATACAATTCGATGCTAAGAAATGCAAATCGGTGGTAGAAATGCAATCGCTTTAATGGCAGCGCAACTCAGCACTCAGCGCAACTCGCGGACAATTGAACGCGAAACCTTGCAAGCAGAAGTGAGCGAAGCAAGTGCAAGGCAATGCGATGACGTACAGATCAAGGCAAAGTAGAGCAGTGTGAACAATGGCGGTGCGAAGCTCGAAACAATCCACATTCACCTTCGACGTAAATTAAAGCAGCGCAATACAACTTAATGCAATGCAAAGAGCCTGTCGTGAAAAACCCACCCTCAAAAAAAACAATCCCGGGAAACCCAGGCGGAGGGTCGCAAGTACCACTGGCTATCTTTCGCAAACAAAGGCAGGGAGGACAGAGGAACGGTAGGAAGTGGGAGTAGGGAGAAACGAGGATACATGCGGAAGAAAGAATGAGATAAATCTCCATCAGGGCCGGTTGGAGGCAGGCTCCAGTGGCCCCGAAGAGGGCTCCAAAACGGCCCAAGAGGGCCACAAGACGGCGAACACGAACCAAAAATCCAAGACTTCCGCCCCAACAGGCGCTCAGGAGGCCCCTAAAGGCCCCCAAGAGGCCCCAACGAGGCCCCGCAAGAGCCCCCCAGATGCTTCAAAACTGCCTCCAAGCGGCCACCGAGAGGCCCCGACGAAATCCCAACGAAAATCCGAAGAGGCCTCGGACCCACAACCCAGGCACCGTGGCGGGATGGGCCGAAGGTTGCTGTTGCTCGGGGTACGCAGGGCTCCCATTGCTCACAGCCGTGTACTCTGGAGGCGGCGAGGCTCAGTGCCGAGCCGCATCAGGCTACGCGGTGCGGAAAACGCAGGCGCCACGAGCACGCAAGATGCTGCCAGGCCCAATGCCAAGCGAGATCATAGTGCCCGTGGAGCCGCCCCCTGTTGATTCATCACAGGGGTGCCTGGCGTGCTGAACCCTTTCGCTTTTGTTTTTGGTTCTCTTTCCACAAGAACTCTCCCTGGGGCTCTGGCCCAGCCCGCCAGGGTCCCGGAGAGGCCCGGATAGCTTGGCGGAGCTCTCGCCACAACGCTCGGCCACATGGGCGACTCTAGAAGGCAGGGGGCGGCGGTGATTCGCCGTAGGCGTCTTCGATCCGTTTGAGGCCCGTATCGCCGGCCCCGTCGCAGTTGCTGCCCGTGAACACCTCCAGAGTGGCAGGGCCGCAGAGCTTGAAGCCGGCGGTTCCGTCGGCGTGGTGGCACGTGTCCGGGGCCGCGCTGGACTCTGCCCAGGCCGTCACCCCGCTACCGGTGTCCGTGTAGGTGTTCGTGTACAGCTCGCTGGCCAGGCAAATTTTGACGGCCGTCGTGTTTCCCACGCTGATCGCCGACGCCTTGTGGACGCTACCTTTGCACCTGCACTTGCCGTGCTTGGCGACCGTCTTGTTGCCCTGGCGTGAAGCGAGGGACGAGGATGGTGAGAGATGGCAGGTAAGGTGAGGAAATGTTGCTTAGCGTGTCACGGCGGCAGCGGCCCCTGAGACACAGTGTGAATCTGAAACCGATGGCGTGTCGCTCTGCTTCGTGGGACGGGGCGTGTAGGCTCGCTGTCCGCCATTGTCGTGTCCTGCTCTCTGCGGCCCATTGTATACTGTACACTGCAGGTTCGGGCCGTGACGACGTCGGCGTTGACTTTTGGCACCGCGTGGCTCGTTCAAGCTCAAGCGTCGGGACTATCCGACAGCGCAGGTCGTTCGACATCGGGTGGCCCTGGGCGACTGGCGGCGCTGAACCTGGTTCAGCCCGTGCTGGCGTCGACGCCGCGTCCAAGCGGCGCGAGGCGCCAACCTGCCGCGCGTGACAATCTCACTGTGCACTCTGCGTCGCCTGACTGCGCGCGTTGTGCTTCGCGCTGCCCGAGGCGCGATCATCTTCGCGCCCCCGCGCGGCCATCCTGGAGGACGCCGGCCCTCCGTGCAGCCCAAGGGGCGCGAAGCGCCACTACCCTCGCACCAGTGCGGGCGGAGTTCTGATGTCACGGCCCACCGTCTACTGTCGGGGATGGACAGACCCCCCTTTAGCAAAACGTGGTTTAGTGAAAACGCCCTGAGGCCCAAACCTGGCGGGCGCAAGCCTGGAAAATAACGGCCACGGCGCCCTCTCGAAAACCGAAAACGGACAATTCACTAATCGACGTGTCACTGTTGGGGGTTCTGTCCACCCCCGATACTTCACCAGCTCGCCATGCACCCTGATAGCTAGATCGGCAGCAGCTTCTTCGGATGCCCTGATGCTGCGGGCGGGAGGCCCCCGTACAGCAAGTTCCTGCCTCAACGTGGGCCCTGGTTTCTGACACAGCGTGAGCCGTGGAGTCTTGAGCGATCTCCGCTCTCGTAGGCGTCCAGGAGACCGTCGGCAACCCCCCCAGATACGCAACGCCCTAACGCGGTTCCCAGAAGTCCCAGGCCTTTGTGAGCGTTTTCTTATCCGGCGTTTCGACATTGGGCGCAAGGGCGCAAGGGGGGTGGGTCTGGCTCCGGAGCTCTGCTTGAGGCGCCTGCTTGCACCCGTTTCTCCTATGGGGGAAACCCCACCTACATAAAACAGGCGCCAAAAAAGAGACAAGATCTATTCCATGGGGTGGTGTGGAGGGGGGGAGCGAAGGCCCGCGCCGATCGGCAAAAAAATGAAAAAGAACACCATCACTTTCATCGGGACCTGTTCTTCATTCTCAGTCGTTTTGTGATGGTCCCGGAGCCCGGCGAGGGCCCCGAGAGGCCGAAAATGGCAGCAAACCGACCGCTACACTGTTGTCAGAGCCTCGGATCTCTGGGAGGAGACCGTCTTTCCCAGCTGTTGTGCAGTTTCCGCGCCGTGGTAGTCTAACAGGGGATACGTGGACACCCTAGCCAGCTTCTCGAAACCACGATGGGGGGCTGCGATGGGCCCGCGAATTCGGGGGCCCCGGTTCTCGTAAGAGGGGCTGCTGCAGCGCAATTCCGGGAGGAACACAGGGAAAACTGAGGGAAATGGCACCGCGACGAATCACAGCAATGATGATGGCGGAAAAAACATGCAGTGTCTCCTGGCCCCGGACTTGGGGCTGTGGCGGAGGGGGGAGAGGGAGGAGGAGGCGGAGGCGGAGGAGGAGGCGGAGGCGGAGGAGGAGGAGGAGGAGGAAGAGAAGGAGGCGGAGGAGGAGGAGGAGGACGAGGAGGAGGAGGAGGAGAACGGAGGAGGGCAACGGCGGAGGAAACAAGCAAAACGCCTGGACCGGCGCCAAGGCCACCCTGCCGTGGGGAGGGGTCGAGAGGTCCAGCGGCCCACGCACCTGACAGATGTCCCGGGCGCCGTATGTCGGGGGAGGTGGGGCAGGAAAGCGGGGGGAGGATACGACGGGGAGAGCGGGAAGGAATAGGACAATGCAGAGGGGGAAAGTAAAACGAGAAGGGGGGGAGAAGGATGAGGAGGAAGCATGAGGGAGGAGGAGGAGGAGGAGGAGGAGGAGGAGGAGGAGGAGGAGGAGGAGGAGGAGGAGGAGGAGGAGGAGGGGCTGCTGGGGAGGAGCTGCAGCGCGGGCCTGGTTGAGGGCGACCGAGGTGTCGGCCGTGGTCTTGGAGCTGCCGTACAGCTGGTCCGCGCACTCGCAGTCCGTGGCCGAGATGGCGGTCGCGAGCGTCGCGGCCTCGTCGGCGAAGTCGCGGGCCTCTCTCGGCGGCGCGCCGAGGGGGGGAGGGGGGAAGGCTCGAGAATCGGCCTGTGCTCTTGTCCTGAGCCGCAGAGGGCTTCTCAGACGATGTGAAGGCTTCTGAGAAGCCCCGCTGCCCTCCCCCCTGGGCGCGGGGCCGACTCTTGTCGAGAGAGGGTGGTCCACCTGGACCCCCGTATCGACCCCGTGGGTCGACCCTCGCCCATCATCTCGCGGGGTGTTCGGGGGGGTGGGTCCGACCCCCCTGGCGGCAACCGATCGGCCCAGGGCCGGTCCTGATACAGAACACGGGGACAAGCATGCACAACGACAGTGCTTTTGGAATCTCACCGGGAAAATAAAAACTTCGGCATGCATCATCAACAACGGCATCATAGACAACTTCGACCCGCCTGGACAAGACCCTGATCACCTCGCCAAGGGGGTGATGAAGAGGTCTCCGACCCCCGTGGGCTCCAACCCCAAGCCTCCTCTGGGGGTCCCGGGGGCGTCCGTCCGCCTGGGGAATTCCTCCAGGCGCACCCTGATGGTGATTCGCCAAACCAGTGGTAGTGGGGCGAAACCCTTACCTCCTCTGGGGACCTCCTCTGCGATTCGCCAGTGACAGTGATGCCCCAGGTTGGGCCTTGCTCTCCCTGCTCGCACAGTGCCTTGAGGTGCTTGCGCGTTTCGTTGCACACACACAGACACACCCACACACACTCCAAGGGAACGACCACTTGGAAAAAGCAATCAGGGTGAAGACTCCCGAAAATAGCACAAGAGCACAGCCACGCATATGAGCATGTCCCCCCCCCGTTCGCGAGGCCACCCTCATGTTGCGAATGCTCGCGTAACGCGTTCTCCCGAACCCCATGTGAAATCATGTCCGCGCTGTGCCGATCCTGAGCCACCGATCCATGCCTCAGAGTACGACTGAACTGAAATTTACATATGGACTCTTCAACCTCCAAGCTCGGCAAAATAATACCTTTTCGCTTGAGAGACCGTCCTGAGCCAGACACACGTTGGCTTTTCCCGATGCGTATGCCCAAAAACCTCTCGACCCCTTCCCCAGGGAGTCCTGGAACGCTCCGAAACGATGTTTCCTCATCGTAGGACTGCCCGACAGACCCCTCTTCGGTCCGCCTTGGCTACTGGCGGCGGCCTTGGGGCCCCAGAGGCCAGAAATCGTAAAGAACAACATCGAGCATTTCTGCCCCTCCCACGACGACGACAACGATTACGACCACGACGATTACGACGACGACGACGACAGCGACGTTGGCGGAGTGAGAAAGTCAGGGGTTTCAGGGAAGGATGGTGAGAAAGCGGAGGTGGAGGACGAAGGAGCGACGGAGGATGATAAGGACAACCTTACCCCGCTGCACCCCCCACTTGGGTCCACTGAGCATCCTTGATCCGACCCCCATCCCCAACGGCGTGTCCTGGGCCCCACTGGCCGATTTGCCCCCCTGCATGGGAACATGGGCCATTGCCGTCGGGTTGCGAGGATTGTACCCCCAACGGGGGGGGGATATGGTGGGGGTCTGCATGAAGATCGACATGTGGGGAAACCACAAGGTACCGAGACTGCTACTCCAGAGACCTCTCCCGGGGTGCGTTCTGACCAAGATTTCGAGGCGAATCCAGTGGTGGCAACGAGGGCCTCCCAGGACGCCGAAAAGGGAAAAACGAGGGAAAGGGTAGCAGTATGGGTTCCTTTTCCTCCTCAGAACATGGGGATAGGGGTCGGTTAAACGATGCTGACTCACTGCACCCCCCACATGGGCCCACTGCACACTGGGCGAGGTGCCGCTCGAGCTGCCGCGAGCCGCGTGCGCGAGAGACCCCCTGCCCGCCTCCGCCGGGCACTCTGGGATGGAGCACGTCTCGATCTTGTGCTCGTCTGAGGTGTCCATCGTGTAGCACCAGGGCATCTCCTGAATACGACGAAGAAAGGACGAGGATAACATCGGGTGAAGATAAACCGAGAATCTCTGAGATCTGGCGGCTCTGGACAGTATGTCTCGGGCGCCGCGGCCTTCTCAAAAAGTGCGGAACGCTCTGAGAACGTTTCAGGTCGCTCTGGAACGGACTTATCCTCGTCCTGGCCCCGTCCGGCTTAATGTAAGATAGCGGTAATAAGAAAATGTGGGGGCAACGATTGACAAAATAGTTAGAACCTTCGGCTTCCGCTTCGCTTCGGTTCCGTCCGCCCCGTCGACCGTCCAGGCGCGCGCCAGAGGAGAGCAGGAGGGAAGGATGAAACAAATAGTTTCCCAACCTGGGGCTGGTATTTCCAACCATGATCCCAGGCGCCGCCGTGTGAACACGACCCACGGCATCATCTGAACCAATCCAGCACTACAACATGGAGATCATGTGTCGTTGTGTTGATTACTTACACGTATAAGTTTAATAGTACACATAAATGTGTATGTCTGTGCAGCTCTCTCTGTATATACATGTGTATATTTGGAAGGGCCCCCACATGATCCTACGCATTTCTTCTTCAATGCATCGCATGCTACCTCCTCCTCATCCTCCTCGTCCTCCTCCTCATCCTCCTGCTCCTGCTCGTTGTCCTGTTCCTGCTCCTGTTCCTGTTCCTGCTCCTCCTCGTCCTCCTCCTCCTCTTCCTCCTCCTCCTCCTTCTTCTCTTCCAATATTCCTCTAGGTGAGGAGGTTTAATGCCACCAAAGCCTACTATACACAGGTCTTGATGTGTTGTTCCATCGATGTTGCCTCAAACCCTACTATACACATGTTTGTTTGTTAGTGGTTTTGGTTTCGGGTTTCCAGGAGTCCTGCACACTTGGCAGGAAGGCGTGCGGGGGGAGCGTGCCCGCACAAGCCTACTATACACAGTGTTTCTATTCTGGGATACCGCCAAACTCTACCATACACATATTGGTGTTCAGGAGGCCCGCAAACTTGGCCTGCTGGCCAAAATGCGCAGCCTCATGAACACCAGCAGAGCAGAAACTGTGCATGCTATCGCATGCTCTTTCCGTAAGCCGTCCCGGCCAAGTGTACAGGCCTCCCGATAACCAAAAAAAGATGTATAGTAGGGTCTGGGGTCTGGGGCTGCACCCGACAAAACCATGTATATACTAAGGTTTTGTTGCAATCAACGCCCTAATGAGGAGGAGTACGGACAGAGGAGGAGGAAGAAGAGATGCCTTTTGCAGGTGATTGTGACAAGGGTTCCTTGGCGTGGCGGCTTGCGTTAGGATTCCTTGTGGCGGATTACACAAGGATGTCTGTTTATGGTGGCTTGCAGCACGTATTCCTTTAGCAGAGGATTGCAAAAGGATTTACTGTGGCGGCTTCAAGACGCGTTCCTTTTTTAACGGATGGCAGAAGGATTCCTTGTGTGGCAACTTACAGAAGGGTTCCTGTCGCGACGCGTTACAATAGGATTCCGCATGTGGCGGCCTGCAACAGGATTCTTTAGTGGGAGGAGGAGGATGAAGGAGGATGAGGATGGCGAGGAGGAACAGGACGGAAGGCGACGAGAAGGAGGAGGAGGCCGATGTGGGAGTGAATTGAAGAGACAAGGAAAAGGAGGGGGGAGGAGGAGGAGGGGGAGGGAGGGACGACGAGCGAGGAGAGGCAAGAACAACCATGAAAGGGGAACACCAAAGACAAGGCGGATGCAGGAGGGGGTGAGAAGGGATAGGAGGAGGTACATGAGGCGGATGAGGAGGATTAATAAGGAGGGGCAGCGAAAAGAAATAGTGATGCTGTTGCTGCTGCTGCTGATGAGAATGATCATGCTGATGCTGCTGCTGATGATGCTGATGATGCTGAGGATGATACTGACGACGAGTATGGCCATGATGGTGGAACGGGGGAGGACGAGGATGACGAGGAGGAGGAGAAGGGTGAGGAGGAGAAGGGGGAATCTTGATGCGGAGAAGGAATCTGATGAGGACATGCCAGAAAGTGGAGGAGGAGGAGAAGGAGGAGGAAGATAAAGATATCGACCATGGAACTGGAAGAGGACTGGCAGACACGGGTCGGGAGCATGAGCGATGAGGATGAGGCAGACGGGAGATGAGTAGGGATATGAGGACTCTGAACATTAGGAGGAGAAAGGAACGAGGCACAGTACCGATGATTGGAACGAAGGTGAGCAGCCTCGTGCTACTCTTCCTTCTGAGGCTTCTCCTCCTCCTCCTCCTCCTCACCGTCATCCTCTGCCTCCGCCTCCTCCTCCTCCTCCTCCTCCTCCTCGCGCCCCCCCCCCTTCTCCTACCTCCCGATCCTCACTCGTCGTCCTCGTCGTTTTCCTGCCCCCCCCGTCCGCCTCCTCCACCTCCTCCTCCGCATCCTCGTCCTCCTCCTCTTCCTCCGCCTCCTCCTCCTCCTTCCCTTCGCTCCTCCACTTCCAAATCGTCTCACTCTTCCTCCTCCGGGCACAGAACAGAATAACGCGAACAGCATGAGAAGTCACAGCAAATGAGCCGGAGTAAGAAAGATGAGGAAGGGGATGAGGATGAGGGAGGCCGTGGATGGCAGGGAGGGGAGAAAGGGCGGAAGGCGGACGAGAAGGAGGGGGGGGAGGAGGCGGAGGAGGGGGAGGAGGTGGAGGAGGCCGATGTGGGAGTGAACTTAGGAGGAGAAGGAGGAAGAGGGGAAGTAGGACGAGGAGGAGGAACGACGAGTGAGTAGGGGAAAGAACAATCATGAATGGGGAGCATCAATGATGGGGCGAATGCAGGAGGGGGGTGAGAAGGGATAGGAGGAGGAGGAACATGAGGAGGAGAGGGAAGAATGAGGAGTGGTAACCAAGAAGGGTGATGATAATGCTGATACTGCTGCTGTTGCTGCTGACGATTATGGTCATGATGATGGGGCTGGGGCTGGGGATGAGGGTGAGGAGGAAAGGCGGAATCTGGATGGGGAGACGGAACATGATGAGGACCTGTCAGGAGATGGAGGGTAGAGAGATCGGCAATGGAGCTGGAGAAAGAATGACAAATACGAATCGGGAAAATGAGCGATGAGGAGGAGACAGGAGGGAATGAGACGGTATAGGAAGACAGTGAACATTAGGAGGAAGAGGAACGAGGCAAAGGGGGGAGGGGGAATGCGATCCGGGGAAACGGCATCGAGCACAAGCGAAAGGTATGATACTGGGGGGAGGGGCAAATCTATATCAACTGTAAACTTTAACATTGGTTCCCCTGGGGGTCACACCCTCGAATCCGGGGCGTGCCTGAGTCGAAGCCTTCATGTGGACGGAGGAGGAGGGGAGGGAGGAGAGGTGGAAAGAGCAGGGGAGACATCTTCGAACCACCTTGTGGGTTCTCGGGGCCCCGTTGGCATTTTTGGGGCCGTCCAAAGGTTCTGAGCCTAAACACCTTTGCTTGCCCGTAGCGCAGGTTGCATGCGATTGTTTCCCCTTTCATAGTTTTGTTGTTCTTCCCTCCCACGTCTCTTCATCCTCACGATCTTCTCCTCTTCCCTGGTACTCCTCGTCCTCGTCGTCCTCCTCCTCGTCCTCGTCCTCGTCCTCGTCCCCCCCTTCCTCTCCACAAGGAGCAATAGCGGCAGCAGCAGGCGAGGAATACAATGAGGACGGCGCCCAGCGCCTAAGAAAGAACGATGAAGAGTATAACTGGTAAGATGAGGAATCCATTGAATACGAGGAAGACTAAGACGAGGAATATGACGACGACTACGAATATCAACACTGCGAATAAAGAACAACAAAACTTTGGGATCGTGTGGGGGGGCATGGGGGCATGCATACATATACATATATACATACACATACGAATGTGTATACGTACGTATATGCATGTGTGTGCATGCATATATGTATGCATGCATGTATGTATGTATGTAAATATATGTATATATGATGGATTGGAGCAGAACGCTCCTCACAAACACGCGGAACTCGCACGGGGCGGCGACGGAGGCGCCGCCAAGGTAAGTCCAGCGCGCAAATACGGCCTCCCAACACTCTGTCATTTTCTGTTCCTCGACTCCTGCGACCCGTCCGGGTTGCGGCAGTAGTTGTGGTTGCCCAGGCCGCCGCTCGTCAGGGTCAGGGTGATGGCCCAGGGTTTCTGCGCGGTCCTTGGCGGGCGCAAGCTGCACACAGGCACCGACAATCACCAAGCCCATCATGGGCCCAAGATTGGTGCTCGGCAAGATCGTGTCGTGACGCCTTGAGCACCCCTTCCTGGCACCGCGCGGAACGTCCGTCCTCGAACGATCGCGGCTCTCGGATAACACGCATTCTTCAATGTGGGCCAAGTTCTGGGCCACCGGCGGCGTTCAACCTTGAGCACCTGAGTTGGGGTCGTCGCCGCGTCGACGGGGCGCAAATCTCACCGTCTTCCTGGCCACGCCAGGCGGGCGTACACACCGATCCTGGACTCGGCGTTGGCCTGGCAGAGATCGGTGTTGGTATCACTGGTGTCCCCCGGGGTCCACTTCTGGCAAGTTCGCCCGCTGAACGTTGTCGTGACCAGCCCGCGGTAGCTCTCGCCCTTGTCATCCGCCATGTAGCAACTGGTGTCGAACTCGCCCAACGGCTCCGCCTTCTGACGGTCGAAACGGACGCACTTACCTACCCAACCCCCTAGGAGCAAGGAGGGGAGGAGAGGGGGCTGCCATGCAGGGGGTGAGGGCGGGACCAGCCCTCTGGCGTCTCCATTCTTTGGCGATCTTGGCCTCTGCCCCCGGGGTAGGCTTTCCATCCTGAACTGTCTTGTGGGTCAGGCGCCCGCTGACCCCCTGCATCTCAAGCAATAGCTGAGGTATTCCTGTTGTGTGAACGACGCTCGCTGCATCGATGACGTAGCCAACCCTACTAAGATTATATCAAGGTTGTTGCCACCCCTAATGCCATCCAACAACATCGAGACCAGCTCGATTCGGACTGCATTACGGCATTCGAGCTAGATCCACAGAGATACTCAAAACGCAACGCAGGCAAACTTAGGATTACACTATAGATGTAGCCGCATTGTGATTTATTAGGGTTACAGTTCCAGTGAAATGATGTCCTCGTGACCGCAGCAGGACATCTCAGATTAGTAAAAAGCTATATGTACATATGATACCTGGTTCTATCGGGGTGGTAGGTTGAGTATTGCTGCGTTCGAACACTAGGCCTAGACGGACTCGAACAAGCTTGTCAATACTACGACTAACTTTGCTGGGGTCGTGGACGATTGTGGCAGACTTCGAGCCGCATAGAAATGAATGCAACTTGCATCAGACATGCAAAAGACGCAACTTCCAACCGTAAAAGGAATGCATTGGAATGCAGAGGCTGTCGGTTCCAGCCGCAATGGGAAAACATGATCATTGCAACTCAAGAGAACTTTGATCAGAACTGCAGAACCTGTGCGGGTATGTTGTAGCCGGCCATACGCCTGATAACATGACACATCAAACTTTGAACGCTCGCGATTTCCGAGTATCGCTGCACATGTAAGAACATTGAACCCTAGTGTAGATATGGTTCCCCAAACAATGGTTGCCTTCAAAGGTTCCCACCTGTGCCTCTACGGAATTGGATAGGTCCAGGGAAAATTTTGACAATTTGCGGCTCGTTGCCGCCTCGTTGCTGCCTCGTGCGCTGGGTGGGTCTGGCGAGGCTTCGCCACGTTGCCGTTCGTTGCCGCCTCGTTGCCGCCTCGTGCGCTGGGTGGGTCCGGCGAAGCTTCGTATCGTTGCCGCCCGTTGCCGACTCGTGCGGTGGGTGGGTCAGGCGACGTTTCGTGCGACTGTTTCGTGCGATTGCTGTGGCAGGAAAGACGATCACCTGCGCCCACGCTTCACACTTCACAGCTGCCGTGTTTCTAGAAGTGCCCCTGGCCCAAGGTGCCCCCAGGATTTCCAAGGGCTCCCCCACGGCCTCCAGGGGACCCCTCACGAGGCCTAAAGGGCCCCAGGGGCTCCAACATCGAACGAAAAGCTAGGGGGCACCTTGGGCCAGGAGCACCTGCAGCAACCCCCGAACAGCCACACGCGGCGTCACGGCGAGCGCCCGGCGCACGCTGCGTCGTTGACGACGCATCGAAGCTCCTGAAGCCCTGCAGTCGGCTACACGCAAGAGCGACCCTGGGCAAGAGTGACCTTGAGTGCGCGGAAGAAGAAGGCACGAAGTGGCCAAATTGCATCGCGCTCAGCGATCGAGAAGGGACCCCGTTGAGCCAGCACCAAAGGCCACTCCGGCGAAGGGTCACTCTGACGTCTAGTCGATTGAAACCCTGCAGAAATCCCGACGATTACCCAACTGGCCTTGGGTGACCTGCTGGCGCCACCAACTGGCATTCTGAGGTCACTGGCCGGAGAAGTCTGGGGGCGGCGGCGCCTGACCATACCGTAATCATGCACGAATTTACTGGGACTTTGTTAGCCCATGTGCGGAAAATCCCGAGGGGCCGTTATACCGTGGGTTCGTGTCGTGCCAACCCTGGCGTTGGTTTCTGACACCGCGCTGGATCGTTCAACCTTGAACGATCGGCCGTTTCCGAAACGTTCGATCGTTCAACATCGACCAAGTCTGGGTCGCAGGCAACGTTCAACATTGAACGCCGGCGGCGGGGTCGCCGCCAGTCGACACGCGACCTGCCGTAATGCTTCGTCGTCGCTGCCGTCTGGCCAAATACGGGTGGCAATTACAGCCACGTTCGCAGGATAGCTTCTAGCAACCTGCGGACGTGGTGGAAACTGCGGGGGCAAACACCACCATCCCACGGCGACGGCCCATGCTGACACCAAGAATTTGCAGGATGGCATGTGCAAAAAATACTCCAAATGGTCCCTCGGGGACTTCCGTGAACACGCATGGAAAAAAACAAAAACCTAGGGGCATGCGTGCTGTCTGAACGGGCACCGCCATCCTCGGCCTCGTCCTGCCAATGACCTGACAAGGCTGGCTTGGGGCGCCAACGAGTCACCAAAGGTCGGGTTACCGCCGCCGCATGTGCCCCCGGGACCTCCAAAATTCCAGGGGAGGCCTCGGTGGGGCTCCCAAGACACCGCGAGGAGGCCCCACGACAGGGCCGTTTTTTTACCGGTTCCGGCGTCGTTTTCTTGCCGGTTCCGTCGCCGTTTTTTACGGGTTCCCGCTCCGGTTCCAATCCTGAAGCCGTTCTTGTTGCCGTTTCCGGTCGCCGTTTTTGTTGCCGTTTCCATGTTCTGAGGACACTTTCTTCGGAAACGGTGAAAAAACAACCCTGCCGTTTCCGGGGCCCACTAAGCCCAAGAGGGCCTCAAGAGATCCGAGTGAATTGTTTGTGTCTCGTGCTCTTCCTGGGCCTTCTGGATGCCCATCGTGCTTGAACATGCGCGCGCGAAAACGCGTGACACTTTAACAATGCCACGGCCCCACTACCTGCCAAACAAACGCCCCGGGAACGTGGTCGACAAAGCCGGGTCGAAGTAGCGCCCTCCTTCCATAAAAGATGAGCATACATTGAGATGGCTGCTGTGGTTTTCCCAACCATCCTGTGGTGTCGAGTCCTCGTTTTGAAGGACTGCGCCCCGCGTTTTCCTCCCGTCTCATTCCTCTCCCTCCTCCCTTCCCCTCCCCCGTCCCAGGCCCAATAGGGAACTCCACCTGAAGCCCAAGTGGCGACGTTCCCATACGCCCCCGCCACCCATTGCGGTACACCCCTCACACGGTTCGTGGCCCCGTAATGAGCTCCACCACAGGCCCCAATGACGACGTTGCGATGCGTTCCCGCCACCCATTTCCGGTACGCCCCCCACACGGTTCCTTGCCCCGTAGGGAGCTCCACCTAAGGCCCCACTGGCGACGTTTTCATGCGTCCCCGCCACCCATTTTGTCACACCCCTCAAACGGTTCGTGGCCCATTGGGGAGCTCCACCTAAGGCCCCAGTGACGACGTGCCGAGGCGCCCCCGCCACCCACCCATTCTCGGCACGCCTTCCACACGGTTCGTGGCCCCAAAAGGAACTCCACCTAAGGCACCAGCGGCGAAGTTCCCATGCGTTCCCGCCGCCCATTTTGGCACACCCCTCACACGGTTCGTGGCCCCATTGGGCCGCTCCACCGAAAGTTCCAATGGCGACGTTCCCGTGAGTCCCCGCCACCCATTTTGGCACACCCCTCACACGGTTCGTGGCCCCATAGGGCGCCCCACCTAAAAATCCAATGGCAACTTTCCCATGCGTCCCCGCCACCCACTTTGGCACACCCCTCACACGGTTCGTAGCCCGATAAGGGGGCGCCACCGAAGACGATATCCACAATGGCGGTCCTCACATCTGCAGAATGGTTGGGTCTTTCGCCAGGCTAATTGACTGAAGCTGCAAAGGGACACGCGGATTGATCGCATATGATTGCGTACCCCCTTCCTCCCCCCTTGCACGCATGGTTAATGGTGCCCTGGTGTTCCGGGCTTCGTGCGCTGGGTGGGTCCGGCGAGGTCTCGCCACGTTGCCTCTTCGGTGCCGCCTCCTTGTCGCCTCGTGCGCTGATTGGGTCCAGGGGCGTTGTGCCACGATGCAGCCCGTTGTCGCCTCGTTTCCGCCTTGTGCGCTCGAGGGGTCAAGCGAGGTTTCGCAACGTTGCCGCCCGTTGCCACCTCGTTGTCGCCTCGGGCGCTGGAAGGATCTGGCGAAGTTTCACCACGATGCCGCCCGTTGAGGCTTGGCTCCCGGCTCCAATTTGCATCACGTATACTACACTACATAGCTTGTGCATTAGGTTGCTTCACATAGCCTGCACATCCGCAGCGATGGAACTTACTGTTTGGGGCCCACGTTGGTTAGTAAGAAATGTGGCGCATTCATATGGACATGATGTATCCCTTTGGATTGTTATGAGATGCGAGGACCAGCATGCGGCTGCATGCGCAACTGTGGATTTAGATTGTGGAGCAGGTGCGCACTGCATGTGTTTTGTTTGTCTGGCGCGGCGCAAGCAACCCGAACTGCAGCCGCTGGTGATCTAGGGCTAAGAAAAGAGCCTGGCCACTTCCTTCGTCGAGGGCGATGGCTTCGGCACCAGAAACACTGCACGGTGGGTCAAGAAAAATACCGTGGACCACGACAGGCTCATACGCATGACCGTCAGGCGCGCACACCTGCAAGCCGATGATCCACGCGGCGGCGGCGCAATCGCCCGCACGGGCACCGCCATCCGTCTGGACAAAGAGACTCGCACGTTTAAGCGCGAAGCCAGGCTGAAACATTCTAGACCAAAAAATGCGCTGGTCCATGGTGCGGTCGGCTAGGCCGTCGGCAACTTTATTATATTTTCTGTTCCACCACTGGGCCGGATCGTCGCGCAACAGAGGCGGGCACCATCCAAGAGAGAGATGCCCCGAAATCCGGTCCAGCACTCGAGTGAGTAGCGCCTCGTAGTGTGCGTCGCGTAACTGCGCGTGGCCGCATACCAGGTTCACTCAAAACTGCGAGTCTGTAGTATACACAGAACGTTGCTCCGACGAGTTGTGTATGTGAACCTTGTGCTAATCATGTTGACTGCAAGATGTTTGCAACTGTTGCAGTTCGTTGTACTTGTTACTGCTGTGAGACTTCATGTGTTGTGATTGCT